TTTACACTGGTTCGGGTATAGTCAACCCTACATCCAGTCCCAGTCAACTCTTAACATAAGAGTGACCCTAATTCACTATCTTTTAAATTTAGTTCACAAATTACAATCAACTCAGCAAAAAGCAAACTAATTCAAAAGACAATCACCTCCTTAGAAACTCACTAAGGATGAACACCTCCCTAGAATCTCACTAGGGATGAACACCTCCTCTGAACAAATCAAAGGATGAACACACCTTCTTAGAATCTCACTAAGGATGAACACCTCCCTAGAATCCCACTAGGGATGAACACCTCCTCTGAACAAATCAAAGGATGAAAACACCTCCTTGAACAAATCAAAGGGATGAACAGTTTTCATACAAGAAACCCTAAAAAAACACAAGAGAATGACAGTGACTACTTAAACCCTAAACAGGGAATTTAACAATCAACCACTTAAGCCCACAAAGGATGAAGGTAATAAAATAAGAATAGTCACACCTGGGTAATGGAGACAACAAATTATAGAAGTCTGTAAAATGTCAACCTCCAAGAAAAAGTGTGATTAACAATGAAAGCACAGTAGACAATGGAGAAGAGGGTTTTGATAAAATATCTTTGTGGCAATGGAGAAAAAGGTTTTCTCAAAACATGTAAAATATCTCTGTTGTCTTGCTCATAATTCTTTTCTTAAAATTGATTGAATATAAATTGTATTTTTGAATTTTGTAAGTGTGTGTTTTTTATTTTCCATCAAAACTTAATTAAATAGAAAAATAGCATTAAAAAATAGTCGTTGATCATTAATACTTTCATAGAGAAAAATCAGGATGTATTCAAAAATATTTATTCTTCAAAACGGATATATTTTTCAAAATTGAACTGTCATAATTTATTATGTTACCAGTATAATTAATTATAATAGAGAAAATCGTTTTTCCATTTTTGATGCATCATAATTTATTATGACAATGAAAAATATAATGTTACGAAATTTTATCACACTTGTGTTTTGGAGGCTTATGCATATTATTACTTCATCAACTTGTACCTCCATATTCAATATTCTAAGACTCTATCTAATCTTCAGAAATTATCTTGGGTTTGCTTGAATCTTGAATAGAATATTTATCAAAATCATATCTTGAGCTTGCTTAATTCTTAAATGTTGTTAACTTGAATCATCATCAAAATCATCTCTTAGAAATGTAGGGACATATTTCATATTACCATCAATCTCCCCTTCATTGTTTTCATATATATATATATATATATATATATATATATATATATATATATATATATATATATATATATATATATATATATATATATATATATATATATATATATATATATATATGATTTAGTGATTTTATTATGAAATGAAAATGTATATATTTATAACCTTTTAAAAATAAAATATTCAGCAATATAGAAAATGTATACATTTCATTTCATAATAAATCACATTTTAATATATATATATATATATATATATACATACATATATATTGTATTATGAAATGAAAATGTATATATTATAACCTTTAAATAAAATATTCAACAATTTTGTTTATTATATAATATTAATAAATCTTTATTATTATTTTTTTGTTAAATAGAAGTTACATTGGGTTGTGTTTTTATAATATATACATTTAAAAAAAAAGATGATGGACGCTCAATTTCCTTTTAATTTATTTTGATTCTTATATTTAAAAATTATTTAATTAGTCCTCTTATTTTAAAAATATGTTATTTTAATTATTTTTATACTTAAATTTAATATTAGGTGATACTTTTTAAAGGAGTTGGTAGAAAAAATAGTTATGATTTTAGTTTTTCTTTATTCATAAATTTAATATTTAATAATATTTTTTACTATGAAATTGATAAAACATAGTTATATATTTTTTAAAGTTTGAGAATTAATTAATATTTTTTAAATAAAAACTAAAATTCTAAAAATATATTTAACCTTGTTCAACCAGTTAGATTTGACTCCTATAATGTCATGTCTTCTTATACCATTGTTTTGTTTAGGTTGTAGTTATTTTAATTTACATATTTTATACCTTATTTTATATTAAAAATTTATCATTGACCTATTAATTGATTTAAATTTAAGTCGGATATATATAAATTTTAAATAGGTTAATAGACTAAGTATGACTTTTAGTCAGGTTAAATTAAAAAAAAAGAAAAAGCTTATGAGAAATAATGATTAAGTTTGGTCTTGAATTTTTTAATCATACCAATCTTATTTAAGCAAAGCCTAGTTTAGCTTAGTCGTTGTCCACTTCTAGTTGTCATGTCTTTAAAATATTATTAAAATTGTAATTCATAAAAATGTTAACTATGTTAAACTATGTATTAAATGAATTCTTCGTTTTATATATGAAATGTTAAAATTATTTAATTATAATTTTTATAATAATTTTCTAGTCGTTTAAAAAATAAAATTAGAATTGAATAATTATATTAAAAATTTAATTTTGTTAAAGATTACAAAATGTGTATAGGGATGGTCGTACCTATATAAATTGACGTTTAACTGTTTGTCAACGTTTTTGTTAATATTAAAGGTTGAATTAATAAATAAATTAGAATTAGCCAATTAAAATATTGTGAGATGAAAATAAAATAAAAGGGTCAAATTAGTAAAATAATAGTTATAAGAGGACAAAAATATATTATTTTTTATTTACTACTCTGTAACTCATTTAACCGTTTCCTTAATTAGTGAAATCATTTAAAAGAATTTCACTAAACACTAGTTGCATTAAAATCAGAGACCAACAATACTGCTCTACCTTCCATTAATAAGCAACATTCCATTCCCACCATCTAAGCTGCTACGATCCCATGTACCTCCAATTTTCTTTCTTATCCTTCATATTGTCTTTTTTTAATATTCTCAATATATTTAATATAAGACCAACGTTATATTGTAAAACAAAAAAGAACAAAATTATTAAAAAAAAAAGGTAAATAAAGTTTGAATAAATAATTACACTTTTTTTCGATTATGTTTATTTATCTGTAGCATTTTATAATCTGAAAAACAGTTATTTATATTTTAAAATTAATGTATTTACGTTAAATTTGAATAAGTTAAGATAAAAGTAGGAACAATAAATAATAATAAATTGGATTAGAATTGTTTTTTGTTGTGGTGTCTGGAAATATAACATTTAGCGTTAAAAATCCTGAATATATCTTTTGCGTGATGTGTAGAGGATTTTTAAAATGGCAGCAGATCCGAAGCAAATTAAACCTGGCGATATTAATGCACCACTCCACGTGCAAGTCTTATACTTTCATCATTGATCTTATATCGGTTTTTGGTTCATCATATAGAAAAAGGAAGATGGACACTGGAAGGCTGGAAAGTGCACATTTGGATCCATGATGACATGTATAAGGGTGGTGCTGCTGCCATTTTGGACACGTGTGTAATCATGACATTGTACATGGGAGCTATGGACCCTCTTTCTTTTGGTTTCCACTATTCACTCTGTCATCACACTGTGATTCATGACGAATATTATGTCACGTCCATCTATCCTCTACTCAACAACCGTTAAGCAACAAGTAAAAGAGAAAAGGAAACATACAAAATTAACATTAAAAGCTACTTTCCTTTTTGCCTACTTATTTCCTCAACCCATATATATAGCTAGCTAGCTATAGGAGATACGTTGTGTAATTTATGCAGTGCAGAAAGAAGCACTCCCCAATTTGCTTCATTGGCACATTTTCACCACCATTGTCATGTGAACCGTTAACCTCCTTCACTTTTCAAATAAAGGCATGCAATAGCTCCTCACCACTTTTTATCTCTTTAAATCATCAGCATACATATTTAGCAACTTCAATAATTGAAGATCAACACCAAAAAGACATTGCCACTTAGACCAGATTCTCTTATATGCACATACATTCATTTAAAAAATGATTCTAACAAAACAATAAGCAAAAGAGAACATGGTTTCCATTATTAACCGAGCAAATCCATAAATTTAGCCATGTAGGGTAGGTGTGGGGATTTGTAGAGTCATTGCTTCCTTTTGTATATTAAAAATAGTGTAGGTTGTAGGTTCGGTTGTCATTGTAAGTGGTTGTTAATTTTGTGTATGTTGGTAATGCTAAGCATATACCTTCAAATTCAATCATCAAGCCGCGTTTGAGATGTAGAAGATTTTTAATTAATTAGTTTATGCAGTGAGTTCTTAGGAACCAGGCACAGATGGTCCCCACAAAAAATAGGGGAATCATAGTTCGGGATGGAGAGGATATTCCAAATGGCCTAAAAGAAAAAAAGAATGCGAAACATAAAAAAGGTAATTGAAGCTACGGAAAGCTGAAAAGGAAACATGCAGGGAAGGGGGAGGGTCGCAGAAAAGACACTTTTCATAGAAAATTACCAAATAGCAATTAATGTTCTATCCATGAATTCTTCTAATAATGAATAATAAAAACAGCCGTAAGAATTAGCTGAACCCCTTATTGTACTGGAAAAACTGAAAGAGACGGTGGTCTCAATTACAATACCAAATTATAGATCGCCCATTTAATGCGGGAATTTTTGTGTTCTAATTTTTGTATATTTAACACAAAACCCAAATTAATTTATTTTTTTCTTCATCACCACACAAAGAAGGTTCTACACTAGTACTACTTCTAAGTGCGGAGTTGCAGAAAAGCCAGCTTGTTGTGTCCAACATAAACAGAAAGCGAAAGCAGTTAGCTATACAAAAACTGACCCATCACCACCATCACCGTCACCGTCTCTCCAGAGCAACCAGAAGTCGCACGCTCGTTTTCGTTTTACCTCGTGTCAGGTTAGATTCCTCACCAGTCACCGTTGTCTAATAGCCAGCACTATTCCATTACTAGGCACTACAAACTCACCCTCTCTTCTCACCTTAACCATCAACCTCCATTAATCTCTCTCTATAAAAATAAAAAACGCTCGCTCGTTCTCTCTCTCTCTCTCTCTCTCATTCAAAGCATTCAATGTAAACGAACCCACTGGTAGCGACCCTCCAACGGCATATCTCTAACAATATCAAAGTTGTACCTGCATACAGGGAAAGTTGTTAGTTAGTTAGGGTTTGATTCTGGCACGGCTAGAGTGCGAGCACGAACATAACATATCCTGTGTCGCGAAAAAAATAAAAATAAAAAACAAAGACAGTTAGCCTGTAGCCATCAGCTATAATATACCACAACTTACTTCTCTACGAATCGCTTCTGCTCGTACTTTTCAGCCATTACGAAAAACTCTTCGATCTCCGCCTCCGGCGGCGCCTTCACTTTCCGATTCTCGCTCACGGCCGCCGAAGACTTCGCCGGAAACATCGTCGATTCTTCCGAGTCTCCAGAAAACTGACTCAACAAGCTGAACAGCCAATATTTAACGAATAAATAAATGATGTAGCGCTTTAGTGGAAACTTTTCGTTAGAAAATTGATCGTGAATACATAAAATAAGAAGGTGGAATGGAATAAAACCTGGACGGTTTGAAATTCCGGTTGGTTGAGTCTACCATTTCGAAACCCATGGTCTGCATTAACCAGCGAATATCGATAAGTAGATATAAGAAAAAAGTCAAATAGATTAATTAAACAGAGTAATTCGAGCAGGAAAATGAAACTGAAAGGACTGTTTGGCATCATAGAAAATTTGGACGCGAATCGGAAAACTACAAAAGTGTACAATTCATAATAAGTCAGAATTTCAAGGACCGAACCTGCAGATCTAACGGCACGCTGTGGAGCTCCTTAACGTGGCTGGAGCTGCAGCAAGAGCGATCGGAGCAAATTTCACCGGAAGCCTCGGTGCCGGCAGAATTGACGGAAGCTTCCGGCGAGACGGTGGTGTCGGGAAACCAGCGGTGCGTGTCGGAAGAGCGTAACTGGAAGGACGTAGAATTAGCAGTATCGGTGGTTTTGCGTTTCTTGGAAATGGTCGGTTCACTTGAAGAAGCTTCCTCCATGGGCACATTTTTGAGAGCGCATCGTTTACACCGACTCATTTTTTGTTGTTGTCGTTGTTCTTGATCCTCTCTCTATGTGTGAGCTTGTTTCTATTTTCAGATGGGCTAGTCCTAGAGAGGGAGGTCGAGGGAGCTTAAAAAGAGGGTGATCGCAGAGGAATATTTACTGAGCGTAGTGAATCGATCAGTGGACGGTTCAGATTTAATTTATTGATCAACGGGTGGTCCCTCTTGTCTCCCTTCCCTTCGTCCTTCTCTCGCTACACTAGGCGCTAAACGACATCGTTAGGATGATTGCTACCCTTTTAGGCTGTTCGGTTACTCCCCAAAACTCTTCTAAATTAAATTTACTTTTAAATATAAATAGATAAAAAATATGTTCAGTTTTGGATTTTTGTGAAGAAAACAAATACGTTTACTCGCTAAATTATTTCAAATGAAAATTTCTTTCTAAATTTAAAAATTATAAAAATATCTCCAAAATCTATCTATGTATACAAGTTAAATCAATCAGTCACATATTGAAATTATTGAAATAAAGAATATTTTTTAGTTTTTTTTTTTATTCTTTCCGGTGGTGGGACCAAAGTTGGCCAAGTATGGACACGATAAAAATGCGAACCTGTTCCTGTGCTTATTTGCAACACCCCATGTGAAAGTTTCCTTCTCTGTATACACTATACCTTTACAAAGTAAAATTTTTGTTTGAGCTTTTTCTTCCACCCCTTCTTTTTATTTAAAACTTATATGAATATCTACTATAAAATAATTTTATTTTATAAATTAATATTATTTAGCTTTTCGTAAAAAAAATACTAGTTTTGATTTAGTATTTTTGAAATTAATTAAAATTTATAAATAAAATAATTTTAACCTATAAATATATTTTCTTAATGACTTTCTCTTATCCAATTATATATATATATATATATATATATATATATATATTTTTTTTTTAAAGTTACCAACAGATAAAAATAAATTTATATCAAAACTTATAATGATTTATTATAAATCTAAAATATAATTTACATTTTTAAAACATTTATTTATTATAATTATATAAAATAAATATGTATTCATAGTCCTCAGAATAAAATAGAAGTTCATACTTTCATTCTTACACGCAAAAACAATATTCCTGCAGCATATAAAACTCAAAGTATATCCTTTGGAAACTATTTGATAACCAACCAACAATTCGTTTATTGTTACGCTACTTCCATGAATTTTTCTACTTGTTTTCAAATATGTATAATGAAAGTTGCGTAATATATATTATAATTTTTATCAAAGAAAACTTTTCTTAATTACTGTGTGTTGAAATGAGAAAATGTTATTAATAAAATAATGGAAACATCAATGTCGTGGTGATTAATGCCCAAACTTACTACAGTTATAAATAAAATTTGGGGTAAAGTTTTGTTGAATTTCAACTGTAGTGTGTTAAAAGAAAATTATGATTCCGTTTCAAAATAGTTTTCATGGAGACTTAATTTACCATTAACGTTGGAATCTTTAAGTTTTAAGATGAAGTAACTTATTCATTTTATAATTAATTACAAAGATAATATCTTCTGCAAAGTATAAATTTATAAATATAGTAATTAACTCATTTTGTAGATTATAGTAATTAACTGTTAAATAATTTTATAAATTAGTAATTAAACAATAAAGAAAAAAAAGTTATGCGTTACAAATATTATATTAATTACTTAGGATTCGGCTACTCTAAACTGAGGATTTAATTTAAAAATATATAATTAGTTATATATTTTGTCAAAGATATATTTAATATTATTAAAAATTAAACCGTTAATTTTGTAACAACTGCTATTAAAAACTTAAGGAGTGATAATGAAGAAAACACTTCAAATATCCTTTATAAAAAAAAAGTGTTTTAAAATATGAAATAGACGAGTTCTACTCATTATATATTTTAAATGCTTTGTTTCACCCTATATTAATTATGAGTAAGTATAATTTTTTATGTTAATAACTAAAATATATTACTGTTATTTATTAATATTTTATTTTAAGTTATTCATTCGATGACTAATTGTTTGATTGGATAATATTTAAACGTAGATGTGATGCCGTCAATAAATTTATTTTTAAAAAAGATAGTATGCTTAATTTTTGTCTCTTGCAAATATTTTTATATAGCTATAAAAGAATGGGAATGATAGTTCACTAAACAAATCAATTTAATAAGATCTTTTCAATAAAAATTATTAATATCCAACAAAAAATTAACAAAACAAAATTCTCTTAAATAAAACATTTTTTTTCTTAGACGATTTTTTTTTCTATTCTTTTATTTTCCACTTGTTTTCTCCTCCTGTGTTTTTCTCACTCTACCAAACATTATAAAAAGAAAACAAAATAAACAGGTGCATTTCGACACGACTTTATTTAGAGAAGCAATTAATTTAAATATTTAAGTATAGAAAACTATCCAAAACGTGTTTTGTTATTCAATTCCGATTTATATGCTCTACATGTCAGTTGTTGCATTAATTTCAGGTAGGATCATCAGCAATAATCTAGGAGTACTTATCTTATCTGACCTGGAAGAAATTCATTTTGTGATGTACAATATACATACGAAGAATAATCGCCAAAAACAATTAAAATGCAGAAACTTCTTGGATATTAGTTAATGTATTTTATCAATAGGGCAATTTAATACATCCAATATCATCACAGTAAATATTTATAATTTTATTCACTCAATTTCTTCATAATTTTATAAATCTTATATAATTTATAATTTTGATTCTAAATTTAATAATTATTTAATATATATATTTATAATTTTATCTTTTTCTATTTTTATCTTTTATATTTATTTATTAATAATATATTATTTAATCTAAAATCAATAATTAAGATCAGCCAATAATCACACATTTAAAATAAAATAAAACAAAAAATATAAAAAAGAGCATGTGACAAAACTAAACACTTTCAAACACATTCCCTCTGTTAAAAAAAAATAAAAAAGAAAAACAATTCGTATTTTTTTTGTTTGAAAATACTATCATATGATATCATTTACAAAATAATAAATAAACGAATTAAATTTAAATAATTATAAAATTATTTATACATTTATTTTAGATAAAAACGAAAGAGCGATAATTTTGAAAAATACCAGTTTTCACTATATTCTCCTTATTTTTACGAGAAAATAAAATAAAACATGTAAAATTTATAAAAATAATTTTTTATCACTTTTTTTATTGCTCAAATAAGAAAAGAGCTTTTTTGTTACTTATATTTCTGCATAAACTAATTTTGTTTCTCATATATACAAGTATTAATTCAACATGTTTATTTAATTAGGATGAAAGATATAAAGCAAATGAAAGAAGGATAAATGTGCATCATTATTATTTTTTTCAAATAAATATGAAAAAAAGTTATACAGTAAACTTTATACAATTATTTAATCCCATCAATAAATTTATTGGTTTTTATAATAATTATTTTAAAATTACATTTCTAAATAGTTTGTAATTGACTAACCATGTTTACTATTAAACTAAAAAATTATTTATTCACAGCGGTAAATTTTTTATATATAAAAAAATATGAGAAATTTTGTAATTTACTATCACTTCAAAATATAATAAAAAAATACCAAATCTAATAATTATTTAAAAATTATATTTATAAATAATTTGTAATTGAATAACCATATTTACTATTAAACTAAAAAATTATTTATTCAAGAGGTAAACTTTATATATATATATATATATATATATATATATATATATATATATATATATATATGGAAATATAAAAAAATACTAAATCATAAAAATATATATATTATAAATAATAAGATAGTTAATTCAATCTTATAATCCTTATATTATAAATAATAAGATAGTTAATTCAATCTTATAATCGATTCGGAACGTAGATTATATTTATTTATGTATTATAATATAATGTTATTGTATCTATTTTATCACATTTTGTTGTTTTGATAGAGATTTTTTCATTATATTTTCTCAAAGAGACTTTTCATATCTTAACACCACTAAAATTAACAATGATACCATCATAAAACTGATGTGATATTTGACACAATCCTATAAATCAGGTTCAATAAAATAATAACTGTAGTTATCAATAAACTATAATATTATCATATCTAGAATCGATGTAAGAGTTCCTCACATCCTCACGATATTTTTTCCCTTTCAAGCAAATTTTCATATTTCAATATCATTGTAATTGACCATAATATATTTTAATTTGATATTATGGAATTCTCAAATAATATAAATATATATATATATATATATATATATATATATATATTTGAAAATTCCTTTTATAGATAATTTTTCATCTAAATCTAAAAAAAAATGAAATGGAGTGCTGTCATATTTTAATTTGTCATATTTTGATTTGATATTATGGAATCCTCAAATAATATAAATATATAATAACAGTAGTAATGAAAAAACAAAAAGGTAAGAGACAAACCACTCTTTTTCTCCAGTATCCTAAATTCATTACCCACATGTGAGATTTAGTTCAATTTATTTTGACCTTGTACTTTTGTAGCTAAACCCACCACAGTCTCCTTTGCGTTGGCATGCCACTTTCTACCTTTCTTCTTCTCTTTTTCCCCCTCCCATTTGGACTAGACTGCCATGTTTCCACACACTGAGAAATTATAGGACCATGCATGGCTCCGACTGTTAGCTTTTATCCTAGTATTAAATTTCTAGTGGGGACTAGCAACACTTGGGATTCTAGGTTCAAATTCAAATCTTGCATATTCAATTCAGCACCATTATCTGCATATAACATGGAGTGGACCACTGGTTGTGACTCTATTATTAGAAATTGAATAAGACTGTTACTGAGTACTGGATCAAGATCACTCATCCCAACTTGTGCAGGTAACTTGGTCACGCCTTCTTATTAATTGCATGCAGTTTAAAGTGGACAAGTTTTAGGTTCCCTCAGAAAGCTTTCAAACACCTTTAATCGAAGCTTATATTTCGTAGCAG